CCAAGGTATTTAAACGATCTGAGAACGGTGTTCTCTCTCTCTCTCTCTCTCTCTCTCTCATGACTGTACAAGGTATGTTTCTCAAAATCTCTTGATTTGCTTAATAGGCAAAATACAAAACTGCATTTCTTCACAGAGAGATGATAGTAGCAGCAAGGGTAATGCTGAGGTGGAAGCTTTATTTTCGCAATTCCTGAGTGAATGTACAAAAAACTGACTCAAGGGCATTTAATTTACTACAATAATATCGTTTAAATTATGATCCTTGTTCATTTTTTCTGACTACCAAGTCTATTTTTCAGATCATGAACAGAACTTTCTAAACTCTGGAGGTGCCCAGTCATCCTTGTCTCCAGCTCCACCATTTTGGTGACGTAAGCTTCCGTGACGTCATCACTGTGGTCATGTGACTGGAGCTCGTGTAGGCTATCTAGGTCAGCGTCGGACAGAGTGAGAAACCATCTCTGGTGTGAGCTGCTATCTTTGGGAGTCTCTATGCCGTGTGTCTCCGGGTGAAGGTCTCTGGAAAAAGAGGAGGTTTAAAAAAAAAAAGAAGAAAAGTAAAGTATAACTTCCCCGTTTCTGCACTGTTCGTCAAGAAGATCACAAGTCAGTGCTTTCTGTTAGTGTGAGAAATAGCTTCAATTCTACTGTATTGTCCATGGTGACCTTAGATGTTGAGGATTAAATCGAGCAATTCGAATTTTGTTGTTTGTTTGTTTGTTTGTTTGTTTGTTTGTTTGTTTGTTTGTTGTTGTTGTTGTTGGGTTTTTTTTGGGGGGGGTAAACTTTACGTCTACCAAAAATATCTTTTAAATCTTAACAGTTTCATATTTTAACCCATTTATTAAACTTTTCGTCGTTGCGTGCACAAGACGTCAGTTGGAATAGTGCGTCAAGAGGTCTATAATATATTTTTAGCAGGCCAAATCAGTCAGTGTTATTGTTAAAGATTACATCACGGACGAACGTGTGATCAAAATGTAACTGCCGATTCCAGAATGTTTATTTCTTTTCCTTACACAAAAAGAGTTTAATTTTGACAAATTTTTAAAATTTTTAAAAAAAAGTAGATCAAAATGTTCAACCAATCAACAATCACTCACGCTTTCGCAAGAGAGCGCCGACCAATCATGAAGGTCGCGAAGGGGAAACTGTTGGCCAAAGACATGCCCAGCTGCACCGCCTCCACTCGCCACGTGACTTGGTGCACCTCCCTCACGGCGGAGTAAGAGTCGTTGAGCATTGCGATGAGGAGGTTCAGAAGAACGATGTGGCCGATAACCATGTAGATGGAGTACAGGAACTGGAGAACGAAATGGGGGAGGAATAAAAGGGGG